AAGCTGATGTGTGCATGTGATTGACCGATGAGGACGAGAGGAAAACTTCCACTTATCATGGAGTTTTTGCGTCAGCCTGCTTGATCTGCTGCTGTATCTGGTGTCCTAATGCTAATCTCTCATGTGTGTTACATTAATTAAAGCCAACGTCATCTCCAGTTTGCAGAAACTAGTATCCTTTTTATATCTGCCACTCTGAGCTTAGGTGATTTTGCACAAACCTGACGGATGTAAAAATGTGGTTTTAAACAAATATGAGTCTGCCTGCATGCTAAGCTCATTGTCATTAATCAGCAAGTGGAAGCAAGGGAGTTTTCCTCCACAGCGGGAGAACAGATGACAGAAGGATGCAGAAGCACTGAATGCAAATCAAAAAGATGGATCAAGTCGGAAATGAAGGAAGAAACAGATGGAGAAATGTATCTGTTTAGCTGCCTCCTTTCAACTCTAAGACATACAATCTAAATGGTTACATGATACTCATGGGTCTGCTTTTCCTTCTTCCTCCTCCTCCTCATCAGCTGCTGATTCCTGGATGGTTTACAGGGAAGCCAAATGAGCCAGAAACTGATCAGGGGTCTGGTTGTTTCGTAGTAGCGTGCAAATCACTTAAATAAGCCGGCGTTATGTGTTTTGCTTTCCTATGGCTGGGCCTTTTGCTCATTTTTACATTTTATGTTTTTTTGTTAAACGGCATTCATCCTTTGCAGCTTTTCCTCTTTTTTTGTCTTTAGAATTTAATTATGCTGAAAATGTCAGTGCAAAAGAGGGACGTACAGTTAAATGTAGATTTATTCATAATTTGGAGGAAGTGACTTTCTTTTAATTTTGTCAGACAGGAGGAAACAAAAAAACCTAACAAACTGGCACCCTTCTCAGGCATTGGAAAGTCCTCCTTGATGACCGCTCTCTATGATTTACCTCAGTGACAATTTACCATTTTTGTCAATTTAACTCAAAAACGGCAATTTCGCTCATTCTGGTTGTAACTTTGTGATCCAGGGTTTCACTGTTCTGATCAGCAAGGCCATCAATAGCTTAATTTACATTAACAATCAATTTCTGCATATTAATTAGTAATTAGGAAAATAAATTCACTATAAGGAAAAACCTCTGTTTTTGGAAAAAAAAAAAACCTGCAACATTTTTACGTCTTGAAGTGTTTTCAGTTCTATCTAAATGATATTTAGCAAAACTGTGAAGGAAATATTATTTATTTTCATCTCAAGTCAAGTGATCTGCAGCTGGACCTTCCTGCCTTTAAAAACAGAGATGAAGAACATTATGTCTATGGTAGTTGGAAGCCCATTAAGAGCTTTTCAATCAATCCGCAGCTGCCTTGTTTTTGAGTTATAGCAAAAACAAAAGTATTCAAGTGCAGTTTGTTATTTAACGGAAATACAGCATTTATCAAAGTTAGCTTTTTCAAATTTGAAAATCTCCTGAGGCAGGCACTGTAGGAGGCTGTAAACCAGTTGTTAAAGACATCTTTTGCATTAAAACGTCACTTCAAGCTAACCATTAAATTCAATTCTTGGTTTATTCTACATTAAGAAACAAGAAACACAGTCTGCCCATACAGGTGCTGGTCATAAAATTAGAATATCATGAAAAAGTAGATTGATTTCAGTAATTCCATTTAAAAAGTGAAACTTGTATATTATATTCATACATTACATACAAACTCATATATTTCAGATGTTTATTTTGTTTAATTTTGATGATTACAAATGACAACAAATGAAAATCTCAAATTCATCATATCAGAAAATTAGAATATTGTGAAAAGGTTCAAAATTGATGGCCCCTGGTGCCACACTCTAATCAGCTAATTAACTCAAACCACCTGCAAAAGCCTTTAAATGGTCTTTCAGTCTAGTTCTATAGGCTACACAATCATGGGGAAGACTGCTGACTTGACAGTTGTCCAAAAGACGACCATCGACACCTTGCACAAGGAGGGCAAGACACAAAAGGTCATCGCTAAAGAGGCTGGCTGTTCACAGAGCTCAGTGTCCAAGCACATTAATAGAGAGGCGAAGGGAAGGAAAAGATGTGGTCGAAAAAAGTGTACAAGCAAGAGAGATAACCGCACCCTGGAGAGGATTGTGAAACAAAACCCCTTCAAAAATGTGGGGGAGATTCACAAAGAGTGGACTGCAGCTGGAGTGAGTGCTTCAAGAACCACCACACACAGACGTATGAAAGACATGGGTTTCTGCTGTCGCATTCCTTGTGTCAAGCCACTCTTGAACCACAGACAGCGTCAGAAGCGTCTAAAGAGAAACAGGACTGGACTGCTGGTGAGTGGTCCAAAGTCATGTTCTCTGATGAAAGTAAATTTTGCATTTCCTTTGGAAATCAAGGTCCCAGAGTCTGGAGGAAAAGAAGAGAGGCACTTCATCCACGTTGCTTGAAGTCCAGTGTAAAGTTTCCACAGTCAGTGATGGTTTGGGGTGCCATGTCATCTGCTGGTGTTGGTCCATTGTGTTTTCTGAGGTCCAGGGTCAACGCAGCCACATACCAGGAAGTTTTAGAGCACTTCATGCTTCCTGCAGCTGACCAACTTTTTGGAGATGCAGATTTCATTTTCCAACAGGACTTGGCACCTGCACACAGTGCCAAAGCTACCAGTACCTGGTTGAAGGACCATGGTATCCCTGTTCTTAATTGGCCAGCAAACTCTCCTGACCTTAACCCCATAGAAAATCTATGGGGTATTGTGAAGAAGAAGATGCAATACACCAGACCCAACAATTCAGAAGAGCTAAAAGCCACTATTAGAGCAACCTGGGCTATCATAACACCTGAGCAGTGCCACAGACTGATCGACTCCATGCCACGCCGCATTGCTGCAGTAATACAGGCCAAAGGAGGCCCAACTAAATACTGAGTGCTGTACATGCTCATACTTTTCATGTTCATACTTTTCAGTTGGCCAACATTTCTATAAATCCTTTGTTTTTATTGGTCTTCAGTAATATTCTAATTTTCTGATATGATGAATTTGAGATTTTCATTTGTTGTCATTTGTAATCATCAAAATTAAACAAAATAAACATCTGAAATATATGAGTTTGTATGTAATGTATGAATATAATATACAAGTTTCACTTTTTAAATGGAATTAGTGAAATCAATCAACTTTTTCATGATATTCTAATTTTATGACCAGCACCTGTATATTGTGTTCCAATGAAGAAAACAATACATTTTCTGTTTTAAGAATAATGGGTTTTGCCTCTGTATCATCATCTATATTTGGTCTTGGTTTTGTTTTGGAGGCGAGTTAATCCAAATGATCTTTTTCAGGTCAGAAAAAGGCCTAATGTAGATTCATACTTTTAATGTTTCAAAAATCTTGTTTTTGTAAGCTAGGAGTGCAGGGGGGTCAGTTGGTACCAGGTGCATGCTGCAGCCTTCCAGTTCATAATATTGCACATTTTACTGCTCATCATAAACTTGCAATCAAGGCCAAAGATTCAAGGTACAATTTACGGGGCAGACTGGTTCAGTCTCTGCATCTTTACAAAAATTAATATCTTTAACCTTTCAATCATTTTATGCCAGGGTTATTGTGTGTAAAAAGTAGCAAGCTAGCAATATATAGGGTCCTTCAGCATTTTTAGAAAGTGCAGAAAACTATAAACAACCTTTAAATTAGCTTGAAAAAGTTCAGTCTAGACAACTGGAGGTGAAGTTTGCCTAGACTGACCTTTTTCAAGCTTGACCATAACCTGGATGACTGACAATCTTCACAGATATCCTTAAAATTAATTATCTCTGATTTCTGACACCTGTTAAAGTTTATTATTCCTGTTGTTGGTGGTTTATCTTCTATATGCTACCAACAGATGAAGAAATTAGGCCAATTTTACTACAGAATAAACATTTAAAACCACCTCCAGACTTGTATTTGTGCTTTTCTTACTTATAAATTAAAGCCAACCGAGGATGGCAATCTTCAGCCTACAGGAAAAAACAAAAATTAAACCGTCCTGACAATCGTACCGCTGTGCTGCCCACTTCCCTTCATGATCAAAATTAATTAATTGGTTCATAGCACCCCTTCCATTTTCTGACAATTATCTGTTAAGTTTAGTCAAATAAACAATTGAGGAGTGATTAAAACCAAGCAAAGGAAATCAGAGTTCTCTAATTGTCTGAGAAGAGATCAGAGAGCAGTTATCCTTTTTATGTATTCCTGATTAAAATGTTAATGCTTTCAGAAAGTTTTTAATCACACATATTGGGCAAATAACGTTTCTCATGTAAAAGTAAGATGGATACAGTGTGTTGGAATAAAGATCACTTTTTTGTTCCTTTAGAGCCATCAGAGAAATGGCACAATAGAAATATAAAATCCAGCTCCCCAAATCTGAAAGCTTTGTTACTCCAACATTTCAACATGTTCTCATAACAGAAACCACCCTGATAGTCCATGTGGGTTCCAGAAGAGAGAAGAGAGAGATGACCAATCGTTCTCTTTTTTTTTTTCCTGTCAAACACAGTTTTACACCCTCTAACTTGGGGAAATCAAGTTCCTCTGTTTAGACCACAGCTGGCTCTGTGGGGAGATGGGGATGCTTAAAATGGAGGGTTTAAAAAAAAATGCAAGCTTTTGATTCCTTTCTTTTTTTTTCTAATCGACATGAAATTATCTGCAGAAATCAAAGCCAGGGATTTGTCCAGATTCATATTTTTCAGACAGGGTTCACATCTGTCTGAGGAGCCTTTTTCCCTAATTATTTCATCCATTTCTTACCTGCATTTTCTTTTTAGCAACTCTACAATGAAAATACCCAATGCTGCTGTGCTTGTTGTTAAGGCTGAGTTGGATGTTGATGGTGTTTTGGAAATGGAGGCTGCTGCAAGATAGAGGGAGAGAAGAGCGAGGACCGTTAACTGCCTTTCCATACTGGGAGAGGTGGGGGAGGAGAAAGGGAGGGAGAGGAGGGTAACATGAGGAGATACAATAAGGGAGAGAGAGAGAGAGAGAAGGTAGGAGGAGAGAAATCTGGAAAGAGATAAAGGGAGTCCACAGAGGGGAAAAAGACTGATGAGGTCGTGCCAGTTACAGTAGAGAGGAAAGAGAGCAGAGCTGAATCCTCCCTGTAATTGAGCCGCTGCTTCTCCGACTGATCCAACGCAGGTAGGGAACACACACGCTGCACCCTTCATCCATCCACCACACAGCAGGCCTGCAAGACTCTGCCTCTTATGGCCCAGAGGGGTCCAGAAAGTTTGTCTTTGATCATCTGAAAGAAAAGGGGGAAAAACGTGTAAAGGTAGAAAAACTTTGAATAATTGGAAACTTAATATTTGTATAAATATATAAACAAGTTAAGCCTATTGTTTTGGCATGTCTTCATTATTTGACCTCATACTTTTCTATTCTTCTGTTTTGATTTGCAGTTACATTTAAAACAACCAAAAAGTGACAAATATATAAAAGTATACATTATTTCCTTATACATTTGTAATGCATAACTATTATTTCAGTTAAAAGCATAAAAAAGTTGCCCATCTCTGTTTAACTTGTAATTGTAGCAATAAGTCGTTTAAACGTCCACCTTTTTCGCTGTTTGTCAGCAGTGTATCTAAAATCATTTATAGCAGCTATGTTGTACTCCATCTGGCTTTCTGCCATTCTTACCTCCTGTTGTGTTCCCCACCTGTCTAAGCATCCATCTCTCTCCATCTAGGCATTGATATCACCTCCAAAAATCTGCGCATTGATCAGGCATGCATGAAAAAGCGTAATTCAACACAGATGGATGCATCTTTTTTTTCAGTCTGAACAAACTCCTGAATCTGCTATTGTTGCCCAATAAAAGATTTTTAAGGAGAGAGAGCAAAAAAGAGCAAATTACCTCCCCTGGCGGCTCCTTGTTAAAAACCTGTGTGTAGACCTGAATGCTCAAATTTATGAGCTAGAGTCCAATGTTTGAATTATCGCTGCATGAAGCTGCTCTAACAGCTTAGGGAAGGTGCCTGGAGGATTTTATTACAACTTTTGTCTTACAGGATAAAAAAAAATCCTCCCCTGTGTGAGTCCGTGCTGACTGATGAGATTAGGCCTGGGCTACAGGTGCAAGTGTGTATTTTTGCACACGTCAGACTCACAGTACCAGCTGTTATGGTCGATGCATCTGCAGCTTATTCTTTTTAAGAACTGTCAGGTAGTAGAAGAGTGTTTCAGTCTCGGGGTAATGAGTTCAGAAGGAAGGTCAAAGGGTTTGCTAAACCAAAATAGTATAGAAGAGATAAGAAAAACAGATCAGATATCAGGTACCAGGTAGATCTTTGCAGAAAAGAGTCAGGGTAGGGACTTTTTCTGCAGTAGAGAGACCCGATGGCAGAGTTTAAAATAAGAAATTTAGCGGATGAACTGCATGAAGAAGTTAGTCCAGATACTCTGCGTTCATATGTTGGTAAATAGGATGTCAGAGCTGCCAAATCAAAGCTGGGCTGTTTGTTTCTGTACTTCATGTATTTTTATGGATGGCAGTTAAACTGTGACTTAATCTGCATTCAGGCGGGAGCTGATCAAACGCGCCGTGATATACAAGGCTGCGGTCAGAAAAAGTGTCAGAGTTGGACATTTAGAGTTATGTTGGCAGAGTAATTCAATCTTACCTCTAGAAATAGACCTCAGGGACAATATGCAGTTAGACATGGGTGTTATGCGTGTCCATATTGTGTGTGTGTGTGTGTGTGTGTGTTGACCTAGCTAAATTTAACTGTCTGCATTCTGCAGCTGCTTGGAGTTTTAGTTATACTATAGAAACGTACTACAATGGCACTCTGTTTTTTGTTTTTTTCTGAAACATCAGTATAAACAAAACTATTCTGCTCTTGACTTTAAGGTTTAAAGCCAGTTTTAAATCATAAAAAAAACAATCAGGTGAGTTTTAAAGAGGTTTTTTTATATTTTCATTTTGAATTCCATTAAGCCAAAATTCTTTTTATGTAAAAAGTGAAGAAACAAAGATAAATATCAGGCATCTCTTCCTGTGTATATCCAGCTGCTCTTTGAAGGCCTTAGAGGTTTGTCAGAGCTTTAAAAAAAACCCAAAAAAGTTCAATAGGGCAAAGGTTCACAGCAGACAGATCAGTTTATAACATTGAGAGGAGCAGCTGCACACCTATTAAGACACAGATCTACACCTAGACTGAGGTTGGGGTGCATTAATCTGAGAAACAGCCAAGAGATTTACGGTAACTTTGCAGGAGATCCGGAGAAAATTACTATTTTTATTTTTTTGCAAATTTTACATTAATGCAGGAGCTGCATAAATAAAACCATTCTCATTCTGTGTGTAGATTGTAACAAGCCATATAAGATCTACAGCAAACATGCAAAGGCGTTCTGCTCAGATCTGACTGAAACTGACAATTTTGTGCTTTAATACTATGGTGTGTTAACCTAGAGCCATTATCCAACAATAATGTTAAGGATAGGCTGTGAGAAATTATAAAACTTTTTTCCCTTCATGTCTCCCATTAAAATATGTAAAAGATGAAAAGTGCAGCGATGACTGTGCACGTGACCTCCTCCTCCACGGTCTGCCTCTAAAAGAGTGTGAATCTGACTCAGCTGCAGGTCAGTGGATGGTCAGTCGGTGAGGTCAGACAGCCTCACGCATGTCATACATGCTGTTTTATTTCAGGGCGGCTCCTGCAGCACACATAGCCGCCGAAAATTAACTGTTGTCGCGTAGCCAAAGGCTGGCTCGGGATCAACACACCCAGAGATTGAAAGCTGAGGGGTCAGGAGGTTCAATAAGCTTTGTTCTCAGATGAAATTTATGTGTTGTGATAGAAGGGCAGGGAAGTGGAATTTTCCTCTTCTTTTATTTTCCAGGATTACATAGGGTTTGGCTTCCTAAATGTTCAGTCTACAAGTTATCTTCTTTTATTATGTGATCTGAAAAAGTTTTTGATTTCCACCCATGTTAGAAATTAAACCCCCTGTCAGCTTGTGTTAAGGAATCTTGATAGTTTCCACCATGCATGAAGAATAATTCAGTTTTTGATCCCTTTCAGATGATGTCTTCAGAGCACCTGGCCTGTGGTTGGCTGCAGAAGCTGCTCGTCGTGCTTGTGAAGCTTTGTTTCGCGTTTGCTGGGCCTCAGCGACCCCTCAACGGGACGGGCTGCACGGCCAGGGGTCCTGCTTCCTACATCTTGGTCTTTACAGGTCACTGGAACCCGCAGTCTTTTCCAAAGCAGTATCCCCTGTTCCGTCCCCCAGCACAGTGGTCCAAACTAGTAGGTGAGAAAATTATGCCGTTTTGGAGGAAATAAAATTTTTTCATTATATTCAACACTGATAAAATACATTTAGTACCACAAGGTAAAAGAAAAAACAAAAAAACTAAATGCTACCAGATGGAGTTTCTCTTTTTTTCTCCACCTGATGACAGATGAAACTCCAATTTATCCATGTTTCCTCGACTCAGTCCCACCATCCTGCTCTACATTCCTGCTGGTTTACCAAACAGTTTTGGCGGTAAACAGAGTAGATGTTATAGGTCTGGGGGAGGTGGGTGATGAAGGTTAAGGCGTGGTGCGTCAGACCGCTTACCTCAAAGCCAAACCACCGCTCCATATCCCTGCAACCTATCCTCCTTCAGACTATCTTCTTTTTCTCCTCATTACAGGGCTAAATTGCTTTTTAAATTTTTAAAGCATTTTGTGATATTAAAAAAAATGAAATGGCATGGATTATGATAAATCCTTTTCAAAAAATAACCTTGAAATAGTCATATTATGCACTGTAGGGAAAATGGAAGGAAAGAACTCAGTAATACTGGAGGAAAGATTAAGAAAAAGGTTGTTTATAGAGGATTTAACTGCAGGCACAATCAGAGTTACATTTAAGACTAATAAAAATTACACAATAGACATGAAAACACAAGTGAGATCATGTATCTTTGTTTTATTCTATTTTTATATATATATATATTTTATTTTTATATCATGTGTCTATAAAAACCAGCTGAGTGAAAGAGGAGACAGGCGTATAAATGTTTTTGGAAGATGATTGGCTGAACAGGTGAGTCTAATTAACTAAATATGCTGCAGCTGTCAGAGGAAAGAGGAAACGTGGACAGAGATCAAGGGAAAGAACAAGGCTAAACACACCATGACTTGAGCCAAACTTTGAGTAAAGCAATGATGGAAGAGACCAACTAAACAAGGAAGTAAACACAAAACATAAGAACTCAATGAAATGTACAAACTTGAAAAGCAACATGACTAACAGCATTTAACACTCAGCCTTCCAGCAGGACGATGACCCCAAACCTCAAACTGTATTCGACCATAGCCATCCAAAGTCATCCCACATTTTCCACTTTTTGTTTGTTTAAAAAAAAAGTTAAACCAATATTTCGTTTACACTCAACTTTTACAAACATGTTCTGCTTATAGTTCTACCAAAATGTGCGGAATGATTTTGCAGGATCCTGAGCAATATTTTCTTTTTTTTTTCTTTTTTATATACAGTGTCCTGTCTGGCAATGTGGCAATAAAAATATTTGTCTTGATGCCAAAAAGAGCCCAACAGATTTTACTTTCACAAGTGTTGCAGTATGGCAATCGCCATATTGCTCCACTTGTTTCATGCATATAAATTGCTTTATTATAATTATGCAGGGAGTTTTACAGTTTATATGGACACTGCAATGTAAATAGAGCAGAAAAAAACAAAAGAAGAAAAAGGAAAAAAGAAAAAAAAGGGTGACAATAGCAATATTTTCTAAAATTAGACAAAAACAAAATCTTCCTAGACTTCACAACACAAAGCATACTAAAGTTTTCTTTGTGTTTAATTAACCATATTTATATTCATGTTTGTGTTTGATGATAGAAAAGAAAGAAAACCTTTACTAATCTTAAAAAAAAACTATTATAATACCATGCTTTGTTTTTTGTTTTTCAATAAAAACATTTCTAATGATTTAATCATTGATAGAGTAAAATTAGACTTTGATAAAGAAACATATTTTGGAACGATATACAGAAAATTATACACAGCCTACAAATAAAACTTAGTTTAGTTGTCAATTTTTTTGTGCTTGCACAATTTTAGGATAAATATTGTAATTTAAACCACCTAAGGTGAAATTTTTATTTGTCTAAAGTAAAGAAAAGACACTTTTAAAGCAAAATTACTAATTTCCTGCTTTGTCCCAAGAATATATACTATAGGTTATTTGCAAGCACAAGTAGAATAAACAAATTTATTACGTTTTTTCAAATAATAAGAAATATAATCTCTTTATGACTGCTGTCCTCTCACTAACATATTGAGTGGGTGCTGAAATAAATATTAAAAAAAGGTCAAAGACGTTTCAGAGAGTCTGGAGATCTGTGGTCTAATGTATAAAATAAAACAGATTATTATTCTTTCTTGCGATGTGACAGTTTTTACAAGGTTAAAAGGAATCATTTTTGCAAATTGTTATTATTGAGGACATGGTGGCAACGATGTCTGGTTTCCAGGTGTGCCACGAGCAGAGTGCCCTACTTATTCCCAACAGAGACAGGCACCAGCAGTTCTGACACACTCATAATTATTTCCACGGGCATGGAAAGGGATGGTCTTTGTCACCAGGGAAGAAAAACACAAGGGCCTCAGTGGGCAGACATGAAAATACAGGGAACAAAAAAAAAAAGGGTACACGTCAGTGAGGGGCATAGGGCCGAGGACACTGAGGGACTGGACTTTGTCATGAATAAAAAATACTCAAGCAATTTAGGAAGGGCTGTCTTTGAAGTTTTGGTGGGGCTTAAGTGTTATGCATTATCAAATTTCAGGGTTTTGCTGCTAGTTAGGATGGAAATGCAATTAAGTCCTCTAGTAATAGGGATATGCGGAGAAAGAAGATAGTGTGTGAAGTGTGCTGGGCAGCCTGTGCAGCTAAGTGTGCTCTCATGCATGTGTCAAGACTATTTAAGGTTCAAATCATGACTATGTGAGTCTGTGTGTGTTTGTCTATGCAGCTCTGAAAAGTGAGGTAAGGCAGAACCATCAGAGCATTTGTCAGCGTGTTTCTGGCTAACCTTACTCTGCCCTTACAACCACGGGCCCAGGTCAGTGGCTTTGTGGGTCTACAGAACCAGTTGTGTAAAAACTAAAGCAGGGCTCTTGATTTTAAACAGATTTCTGAGATAGGCAGAACGATATAAAAAAAAAGTGAGGAGAAAGCCCGCTGGCCCAGACTGCACAAAAAGCATCATTAAAGGTTTTCAGAATTGTTAAAATAAATTGTTTTCCACCCCCTGTCTGCCAAGTCTGGGATCCTGACCTACATCCTGGCAGCTCCAGCCCGTGTTGTGGTTTCCGCAGCAATAGATGGAGAATAAAACCTTGCCATAACGCGTACATATGAGCAGTTCCTTCAGAATTATCAGTTTAAGTGCAGGAAGTAGGTGGTGGCCTGAGTAGAAATCCACTCAGGCCCTGCGGTGGAAATGATCTCATCATCTGGCTCAGAACTCTGCGGAGCTTCATTGACACTCACAACCAGTCAAGTGAGCATCCGTCTTACTTCCCTCGTCTCATATTTCTTCTATTTCTTTTTCTCTCTCAATAGCGGTGAGCCACAATCACCACTTTAGGCTCTGGGAGGAGGGCTTCCCAGCCAGTCCAGGAGTGCAGAGCTTCGCTGAAGTTGGGGTGACGGTTGAGCTGATGAAAGCAGCCAAGGAGGCCAGGAAGAAGCGCGCTGCGGGAGCCATGCACCGGACTGCTGGCATTCCCAACGGGATTGGTCACAGCTCCACGGAGATGCTCATGGTGCCTCGCAACCCACTGGTAGGAGACAACAAACCTTAAAAAAAGCACAATTATACTCCGTCGCTTTGACCAGGGACAATTACCCCATGCATCTGACCAACCAAGTCATTTTTATTCTGATTTCCACTACACCCAGTCAGACTTTGTTTAGACCAAGTGCTTGAGCTCAGTAGCCACAAACGCCCACATCCATCCTGCACGGTTTGCTCTCTGTCTGAACTGGGGCAGAAGGAGGGGCCCATCTGTCTAAGGTAAATATGGAGGCAGCAGCCAGTTACCTCAACATAAAGACTGCGGAGACACAGAACCAGCTACAATTTTCCTGTCTGAGGAAAAAGAAAATTGAGCCACCAGGGATTTTGCTGATTAGCCAGTTAAACTTTGAGCTAACTAGTTTAAAGAACGTAAAAGCTAAGACGAAGCCTGTCATTATCATCAACCCGAATATAAATCATGCATTCACTGTGATAGCCGCAAAAGGTCAGTTTGACAGGCCAAGAACAGGCTGGATTCCTGCCAGGCGTGTCAAATTCAAAAATCCCTAATATTGAACCTGTCTGACAACAGGAAGTAGGCCAAAATACATTAAAAGAAACACATCATGTCCTAATGTGAAGAAATCCAGTAACAGATGAGAAACAAAGTCCTTCATATTTATTATTATTTGGCATCATGTTATAGTTTACTGGATTCCAGTAAACCACAGCAAGTCATTGTTTATTAAAGAAGAAAACATGGAACAGAGATGGACCATTCCAGAATAGGTGAGCCCTCCAACATAATGTCAGGAGCACATCGATTATTCATCAAACAGTCAACAGTTTAAAGCTCAACAGGCCCCACTTATGTTAGTTATAGTCAGTGTTCATGATTCAATAAAGGAAAATAGACGAGGCTAAAGAGGATAGTGAAACATGTTGGTGCTTTTGTAATGGCCGACGGCTTCGATGCTTCATGATCAGGACAACCAGCAATGATTGACAGAACTAATTCTGATTTCTGGGGAAAATCTGACCCAATAGTAAGACCATGAACTAAAACTCAACCTCACCTGTTTATGCTGCAAATACAACAATCTGATGCAAACCAGTTCTACCCTAAATGACACAAAACAAATAAAGTGGAGGTTCTGGAGAGACTTAGACAGAGTCTGGACCTAAACACAGTTCAGATGCTGTGATTAACCTGAAAAAGCTGTTCATACCTAACAAAGCATCAATGCTGTTGAAGAAAAAAACTATTCTGCAGAGAAGAAATTGCCAAATTCATTCCCACCAAAGATTCGAAAAATTACATTTAATTGCTCACACATTGGAGAAATGTACCTCTGCATTAATCCATCCCCTTGAGGAGCAGTGGGCTGCCATTGTGGGGCACCCAGGAGTTAAGGGTCTTGTGTAGTCTGTGTGATGAGTTTTCAAATCACAACCTCAGAATTGCAAGCTCTATACACTAAAAACTGGGCCGCCACTCCTGCAGGCAGATACGTTTCAGCCGTTTTTCACTAAATAAAAGAAAAACTGTTTTGCACCTGCCATGTTACTTTTTATTAGAGTTGACATGATCTGAAAGACTGAAGCGGGTCAAAAGTTTAAAAACAGAAGAGATCTGTTAAGGGGGTGACACCTCTTGATCAAATAGTATTTGTCTGAATTTTTTATTGATAAGAAATTCTAATAATTCACAATTGTTTAATTCCTTTAACAGCTCAGAGGGTTCTCCTTTGGTCATCGTCTCTGCAAACCTTCGTTTCTGTAGAGATTGAGTCAAAAAAACGAGATTATCACTAATAATTTGTTGCTTTGGATGATTTAATTCATTTGACAAGCGAACTCCATCCCACTCACTAAGGGTTTTACACATGGGATGAGTTTCTTGGATACAGAGCTTCTTTTGTCCAAACAGAACATTTTTGTTTTGAACAACAAACTTAATGTTTGGTCTGCCGATGACACACCATTCCAACAATCCTCCATCCTCTCTATGTGATCTTTAATAATCTGCAGCTGAGTTTATTCATGTTCATCCATTGTGATGTCTGTGCAGGGAACAAGCTGCAGATGGGCAGTGCCGTTCTTCTCAAACAGCCTTTTCCCTGCAGCATCATGAGCATCATCACTGCTGAGTTGCTCTGATGGTGGCCTCTTAAACATTAATGCGAGCCAACATTTAGATGATTAAATGTTGCTTCAAACCAGGCATTGGTTTCACTATAACTATGTTAATTTTCTGCCATCTTCATTTACAATGCTTGATCAGAACACATCCTAGTTCTTGTGTTTTGAATTAGGTTTTAAAGGCTTGTGTGCTGGATGCAAATATGAAAAGATACAACGGAGATGAGCTGATGCAGTCTGGTGAGATGATTGCTGTGTCATTCAGCCAGCGAAATATTTCAAAGCTCGTTGATTTTAATAAACGTAAACGATTTTGCAGTTGTTCCCAGAATCTGATTGAACATGAGGAGCTCTTTCAGATTGTTGGCTACATATTCCCTTCCTCTATGGTTTTACTCTGGAAGATCTTTGCTCTTATTACTCAGTTTGGTTTAACTTTGAAAAAAAAAAAAAGAAAGACAGGGAACATTTTATGTGTGTGGATCTTTTGTAATCATATCCAGTTTAACCCATGGTAGGGATTTATCCTAAAATTAACCTGGGTCTGATTAATGCTATTAGGTTATGAAGCAGAGAGCATGGTTGAGCTAAACGTCTCCTTTTTTCCTAGTTTAGTTCAGTTCATTTCTTTCTCTTTCTTTGCATGGTAATTCATATCAAATGTCATTGCAAAGCACTTTACAAGGCAAACAGGTCCAATACACATCTAAATTTATATCATGGAATTTGTTTTCATCAGCTTGTCTGAACTGTTCATAGAAAACAGTGGCCAAATAACAGAGATGTTCACTTCATTCAGTGCCAAATAGATCTGTTTCTTAAAGGTACAGTGGAGGATGCTCTATTTCCGGGTGGATCATCTATATAATTGGTCCTCCTAATTGTCAATCATTCTGGTGATGTCTACGTAAGGCCTTTTTAACCTGCTCAGCCCCATTTTCACTTACAGGTGGTGAGTCTGACATAGTGGTAAAATTGCAAATCTTCTTTTGGAAAATAAGCTTGTATTTTAAACTTTTTTTTTTTTTAATTCGTGAAGATCCTTCACTATACCTTTAAGAAAAAAAATATGTTATTAAACCAAACAGTAGAATTTATCTCAAATATTCACCAAGTTCACCACAACAAGAACCAGAACAAGAACTACTTCTAAATGCAGGTATCAACATTAGAAAAGTTCAGCTTTACCATTCTTAGCTGCCCAGCCAAAGCCTGACTTGAATTTTAAAAAGATAAAGATTTGAATATTTACTTTAACAACCTTAAAAACATGGCACTTTTCACTCAGGTTAAGTTGAGTCGCTCATGCCTCCTTGTGACTTAGGTTAAAAAGTTTAAATAACCCCTTTGACCCTTTCATTTGCAGCTTATCGTCTTGTTTTCTAGGTACATTATATCTGTGGCCGTCTGTTTTTAGATCAGACAAGCAAAGCAAAGCCCAAACGATTGAATGCGTTGTGTTTAACCTGCTTTAATGATGTGATACGGCTAATATCTTAATCTGTAAGCATGCCCGTCTGTCTGTTTTATTCTGATGCGCTCTCATTTATAAATGCTTTCTCATTCCTTTGAATGCAATGGTTTATACGACATCCCCCAGGAATCCCAAACACATGACTTCTGTCATCGTATATCCAGCTATTGTTTAATGTGTAGCTCCAAACAGATGGAGAGACAGAATGTGAGCCATTTTAAGCTCCCAGAGCGGGAGAAGCTTAGCATGCAGCTTCTCCTGGTTGTATGCTTTCTACTGGATGCCTTCTGGTGTTTGGGAACAATTTTCTATGATGGAGACAAAGTGGCAGAAATCATTGAGGGTTGAAGATTTGTCTTAACCAGAGAAACCTTTGTGTCTCTGTAATACAAGAGGAAAACCCACAATGGCACCCTTCAGATTGGATCTGGTGTTCAGGCAAATACAAAAAGCAGAAGTGGTAAAGCAGTTTAAAGAATACAAATAAGGAAATAAAAGAAGAAGCCACATGGATTCCTCTGGTGTAGTCTTTACATGGAAACGCGTACGTCTTCCTGGATAATCTTAATCCTTTGTCTCAGACCTGCTGGTTTAACTTCTGTGTTCAGTTCAGCTCCATCATTCATTTATAACCCACTCAAAAGCCAGTTCTAAGATTGACAAGCTGAACCCAAATCTTCAAATGTTTTTGTTCATAAGTATATAGTTTTCAAATGTGCTGGGTTTTTTTTTTTTGAACTTCTGCCACCACAAGTGTGTTGACCCTCCATCCACTCTCTGAGATGAGATCATCGTTTCTCAGGAAACATACATCATACAGGAGACAGACTGGGTGCACGTGCACGCATGCCGGCTGTGTTTTATAGGCTCAAAAATCCCTGCATTGACTCTCGTGTGTGATGTCACTCCTATTGCATTTATAGCGCTGGCCGATGTTACTGTGATCTCTGTGATTTCATTCATTCTGAACTCATCTCACTTTTCCCAGCAGAAGGATTTAACCAGTTGCACAGCTCAGACTAGACTTACTGTTAAAATGTTTTTAAAAAGCAATTGTTTGCTTTAAAGTTTACGGCTACATCTCAAAAATATTAAGCGTTGCTGTTTGACATACAATGAATTGTATTCTTTGGCACCCGTTGTTCAGGATTAAGTTAGAGCTTACTGTAAATGCCTAACATGCATGACAGCCTTAACTACAGTTCAGATTTCTAAAGTGGGGTTTTATTGGGGGATTATAATTATTCCCTATCTCACCCTCTAAACCCCCCCTACAAAAATCGGCCAAAATGGAAATGGAAATTTGTGCCAGGTTGGGTCTGGAAATGTTTGGTCAATAATTGTTGGAGCCTATTAAGAATTAGATTAATTAATTAATTTTCTAAATTATTGATTTTAAATATCTAAGGTTGTGGGAATGGTAGAGCTATTTTTTATTTGTTTATGTATTGGTTTTGCTTTGACCCTCCTCCTAGTCAGTCCGCCTCATGCTGCGATTAACAAGTACACTGGAAAAAATGGAAACCTAGACACGTCATTTTTATCTTAAAATAAGTGCAATTGTTCTTGGATTGAGGAGGTAAATGAGACATTATGCCAATGGAACAATAAAAAATTTACATTTAGAATAAGAAAACACAATTGCAGTGTCTCATTTCAAGTGCATTTTGTCTAATTATCTTATTTTAAGTGTAAAAATACTCATTCCATTGGCAAACTATCTCATTTACTTACTCAGATTAAGGGTTCATACACTTAATTTAAGAAAACTTTTAGTTATTTCTAGATCATTTTTCCAGTGTAGAAGCAGCTGCTGAGGTGGATCTGATTGTTTGTTTGAAGGAGTGAGGAGTGCAACAGTTTTTTCACACACATCACTTAATGTTTAAATTAGATTTTTTTGTAAGTCAGCTCTGAGAATATTTCGGTTATTTTTTATAAGTAAAGAAAACACCCCTTTTTAAAACAAGAAAATATCCATGAGTGCTTTTTGTTTTGTGAGTCGAAAAACCTCCTCCTAAGACTACTCTGGCAATTTTGGATTTTTTTGGGAAACTATTTTGATTCAAGAGTAGCCGTAACAATCGTTCTGATAAACATTTGGTTCCTGGTATAGTACTTTGCAAAACAAAATTTTAAACCTTAAGCATTTTCAAATCTTGTCACATAAAAAAAAAAATATATGCTGCATTATCTAAAAAGATATATTGTATAACAGCTGTATAAAATGGACAAAATGTTCCTTTTCTTGCTTTATTTTTTTTATTTTACTTGTCAAATAAAAATGTGAAAAATAGTGTATGTTTGTCTTCAACTCTCCAGTATGACTATTTGGTAAAACCTCCCACTGCTGGACGTCTGGTATATCTTTACCAGCTTTTCACTTCTAGAGGCTGACATTTTTGCTCATTCTTCCCTGCAGAATTGCTTAATCTCAGACTGAGACGATGGATGTTAAACTCGGTGTCAAGACTTGACAATAACTCTCCTTTACATTTAACACACAAATATGCTTTGATGTATTTTCTGAGTTTAGGTTTATTTTCCTGCTGGAAGTTGAATCTCCTATAATAAGTTTTTTCTTGGGTATGATTATTCTTACAAGGATCTGTAACTGTTTGTTTCTACTACTGTCTCTAATGTTCTATTTGTTTGTGCTTTTCCACATAGTGAACACACAAAAATGTATCAAATATTTTTTTCTTGAACAGCCTGTGTGTGATGATGTTTAAATAAATGTCTCCATGTCACACACTGAAGTCTAAAACTTTGTCCCTCTTTGTCCTACAGCTATCTTTGATGGTGAAGATTATCCCCAGCCCAGACTGGTTTGTTGGGTTAGACAGCCTGAATCTTTGTGAGGGGAACCAGTGGAAACAGGAAGTGACTGTTGACCTCCATCCTTTTGATGCAGGGACGGACAGCGGATTCACTTTTTCCTCTCCCAACTTTCCAACTAGCCCCCCAGAAAACATTACGCAGGTATGAGGCTCACAGGAAGCCGTCATCTGTTTATGTCCTTCACTTAGCTGTTGGTGCCTCAAACCTCAAACTCTGGTTCATCTGTCCTGTTCTTAGAAAAAGTAAGCTGAGTGGGAATGGGGCATCATTCTTAGCTGTCTCTGGCTAAATGATTACTTGGCAGCCCTCATGTCTGACCTGAAGTGATTTAAATGAAAAGGGAACTCTTATGCAACACATCATCCATCCTTTTGCAGCATGTGTTTTAGGGTTGGCTAATATTTACTAAGAATCTACTAAGAATCTGTTCCTCTTTCTGATGAACCGATGCTTAAATGCTTTTCAGATCACGTCACAAATGCCAAACCATCCGGCCAACTCCTTCTACTACCCTCGACTAAAGGAGCTTCCACCTATTGCCAGCATAAGGATTACCCGGCAGCGTCGATCACTTGACCGCCAGACTTCCATCTCTAACCACATTCTGCCAAATTCCATCAGTCCTCAGCGCTTCTCAGGTAATAACACAAAACCTTTGTGATACTTTACTGTCCAAAAGTATTTACAAAACTTTACTGGTGAGTAAGAGGTGCGAACTGGTGTTTGAGGCTGAGCCACACCAGCCTGATATAATTGGACTTACAAAAGGATAGCTTGGTCTCCAGAGTCCAACTGCTTAAGAGGGGGCTGGACTCCAAAACTACCAAGGCAGGCAAGGCAAATTTATTTGTATAGCACAATTCAGTACAAAGACAATGCAAAGTGCTTTACATGATTAAAATATAGGAAAATAACACAGAATCAAAGCAAGTAGAAAAAAAATAAAAAAGTTGAACTATCGATGTTTCAGTTGAACTGTTTAACTGGAAAAGTCGAAGGCAAACCTAAACAAAGATGTTTTTAGTCTGGATTTAAAGGAACTCAGGCTTTCCGCACTTTTACAGTTTTCTGGAAGTTTGTTCCAGATAAGTGGAGCATAGGAACTAAATGCTGCTTCTCCATGTTTAGTTCTGGTTCTAGGTATGCAGAGCAGGCTGGAGCCAGAAGACCTGAGTGGTCTGGAGGGTTGATACACTGATAGCAAGTCTGTGATGTATTTAGGTACTAAGCCATTCAGAGATTTATAGACTAACAGAAGTATTTTAAAATCTATTCTCTGAGATACAGGGAGCCAGTGTAAGGACTTTAGAACTGGGGTGATGTGCTCTACTTTCTTAGTCTTAGTGAGGACACGGGCAGAGGCGTTCTGGATCAGCTGCAGCTGTCTGATCCACTTTTTAGGCAGACCTGTGAAAACACCGTTGCAGTAATCAATTCGACTAAAAATAAACGCATGGATTAGTTTTTCCAGATCATGCTGAGACATTAGTCCTTTAATCCTGGAAATGTTCTTCAGGTGATAGAAAGCTGACCTTGTAATTGTCTTTAAATGCTTTTGGAGGTTCAAGTCTGAATCCAGTACTACTCCTAGATTTCGGGCCTGATCAGTGGTTACTAGCTGAAGCGACTGAAGCTGTGTGCTAACTTTAGATCTCTCCTCTATTGGTCCAAAGATGATTACTTCAGTTTTGTTGTTATTTACTTGAAAAAAATTATGGCACATCTAGGCATTGATTTCTTCTAAGCATTTCCTCAGTGCTTGAACTGGTTCATAAGGTAGAGAGTCGTTGAAGGAATGTAGGGAACCTCTTAAAGGGGAACACTGTTTTTTTTTTTTACATTGGCCCCTTGATTTTACGTTATTACATCATGTTCTACTCACCCATATTAGTTTTTTGTCATTTGGAGCTGTTCTGAAGATATTCGGTTTTGTAATTCAAGTAACGCCTTCCTATGGGCAACGACTTTAAGACACAAACTAAACTATTCATAATGTATTCTTTATGGTACGCCAGCATTCATAACATGTAGGGGAATCACTGTCCCCCAGACATCTGCGGTTATATTTTCTATATTTATATTTTTTTTAAACAAAGCGGAGTGTGTATGACGTCATCCGCGCGTGCCGGCTACCGTTCATTCATCCTGTCCACTGAACTGCTTTTAGTTTTACTCACATGCCTGGAAGATGTCTAATGCTACTACTACAGATGATCTCGCTCTGGAAAAACAATTAAACGATTCAGATTAGATAGCAGAATTAATATAATGGGTAGAGCGTAGCCGCCTGTGGCCCGGGCTGCCTGTCACAACTCCAGTCCAGCGCGTGGATGACATCATACACACTCAGCTTTGTTTAAAAAAAAAAAAAAAAGTATAAAAAATATAACCTCGGATGTCTGGGGGACAATGATTCGCCTACATGTTATAAATGCTGGCGTACCATAAAGAACAAATTATGAGCAGTTTAGCTTGTACCTTAAAGTCGTTGCCCATAGGAAGACGTTACTTGGATTACAAAACCAGAATTCTTCCCGTCTAACATGAGTTTAATTTCTTTGCGGCTTCAGGTTGATCTTACCTTCTGCAACAAACCGCTCAGATTACCCAACGTTCTTGACATTCAAGCATCATGAGCAAAGTTTGATTATCCTTTTTGTAACTGTATTATCAGACCTGCATCATTATATCTAAGGTGAAGAGAGAGGCAGATCTATGACCTCATCACCACCTGGTAGTGAGTCTAATCCTGTGGCAGAGGAGGCTGCCAGACAGACTTGGTAAACCTCAAAAGGTATCGAGGGACAGCTGGGAATGTTAAAAACTACACCTCCCAGGGAATTTTCTCATGTACCATGAGAGATTAGGGATATCCAGTAAAAATGCAGCAGAAACTCCATTGCGGCTTTGGCTTTCAGGAGCTGTGGCCTTAAAATTATTGGTGCTCATTGTGTGGGTAGCCAGAGGACTCACTGGGGTCACTATTGGTGACTGAAGCTGTATGGCTAAAGCAAATGGACTAAAGGCTCAGTTGTCTTTAGGGACAGTCAAAGCGGCTGATTATGTACAGATTGACCAGACAGACTGCAACAACTGTTGTAGCAGATAAGTGGGATCATCCCAGGCTGTGTGTGGAAAAGGTACCAGTGAACCCAGACTGAGGTTATGGTTGAGAGGTGGAAGGAGTACATGAACTCCTTAATCCAATCATCGTGACCTCTGTGGAAGAGAAGGAGGAACCTGAACCTTCTATCACCTTAATGGAGGCCTCCAAGGTAGTTAAATAGATCCCCATTGGCAGGGCGTCAGCTGGGGCTATCAGGACTGACATACCTCCTCAGTGCTGCAGAAACATTGAAGTGGCACCGGTACTGCATGCAGTATTGGTGTCCTGACTTTTAATAAAGGGCTTCGGATATTGAACTCCATCTCACTCCTCAGCCTCCAAGAAAAAGAACACTCTAAAGTGTAGTGGAAGCTCCAACCGATTGTTGAACCTCACATTCAGGATGAGCAATGTGGCTTCTGCCCTGGCTGTGGAATATTGGACCAGATGTTTACCCAACAAGAAATGCTGAGACCATCATGGTAGTTTGCTTCATCCGATCTACATGTGTTTTTTTTGGATCTGGTTTACCACAAAGTATTTTGTGGGAAGCGAGTTTGGGGATATACGGATGGCTTTAAGGGTTATCCAAGCCGAGTATGCCTGGGGCAAGAGCTGTGCTCGCAATCTTGGCATAAAGTTAAACTTGTTCCTAGTGTGGGTTGGACTCTGCATCTTTTCACCAATTCTGTTTCATAATCAAGTGATGTAGAGTGTCTGGCTTGAGAATCTTATGGTCTACTTCAAACAGATGATGCATTTGTTCTTCATCCCATGATGTCCAGAATTCACATGGGCAGATTGCTGTTGAAGGTGAAGTTGCTGCGATGCAATTCAGCTGCTAAACTGCTTCCTCTTGGGTACAGGAATAGTCTCTGCATCAAGTTGAGAAGTTTAGGTATGTTGGGGTCCTGTTTGTAATTAATGGCAGGATGGGTCTGATTATTAACAGATATAATGGTGCTTTATTTGCAGTAGAGACTGACACGGGAGTGGATTTTCACTCCTGTCCCGTCCCACTCCCTAACCCACAGAAAAAAATTGTGTCCCGTCCCAATCCCGGGCCAGAGTAGAAATCTTAATCCTGTCCCGTCCCACTCCTGGTGAAATTACTCCCACTCCCATCCCGTTCCCATTAAGAATGACTTCCGCTCCTGCACCACTCCCATTCTTGTAGTTTTTGAGCTCGGGTGAAAAACTCAGAGCGGCAGCACTGTTGGTTTTTGGGTCGTGTCGTTTTTTTTGACTCGCATTATATCATAGGCTTCAAGGAAAAAAACTACAAAATGGCCAGTAGTGGATTTTTTTTCTTTCTATTTAATTTTATTTTTTGGCATCGATCCTAGTTTTTTTTTTAGTTACTATTGGTTTGCTCCTGCACTCGTCTGCTCCCATTAATGTTTAATCCTGTACCGTCCCAATCATGTGATCGTTACTAATACTGACTCCCATCACACGGGAATCCCACGGGAATCCCGTGACCCGTGGGATTCCCGAAAATATGTCAGTCTCTAATGTGCAGGAGCAAGAAGGCCAAACGTTTTTTCTGAGTCAAAGAAGAAAGAGAGGAGTCCTTGTCTCCCAGGTGAATTCTCGGCAGCATCATGCAGTGGGGATATTTTTCTATACAGGAGGATGAAGGCTGGTCATACTTGATGAGAAAATGGAGTAGAACGCAAGGCAAGAAGGAAACTTCTTAGAGTTTCATAGAGGTTCGCCTTCCAGTTGGACAATGACCCAAAACAATCAGCCCTATTTACCACAAAACAGGTTACACCAAAGCATATTCATACGTCTGAATGACCGAATTAATGTCCAGAGCTGTGGCAAAAACAGAAACTGATGTGCAAAAAATGCTCTCCCTCCACTGATGGTGAAGCTTGTGTCAGTTCACGCAGAACAAATGACAATTTAGAAAATACATTGTTTTCCCTCTAAATATTAATATTTTCTGGGTATTAAGTGAAACACACTGGAACATATTCAGCATTTTTTTGTAAAAATAACATGAATATATTATGCTTTTTCCCATTTCGTAAGTTCGTGCTAGGTTGTACTGGTTTGTTGCTTAAGTGCTGTTTTTTTTTATTTATTTATTTTGATGTCTCTTTGTTATAACCAGCAACACCTTTGGACTGTGAAGTTTCTCTCTGGTCATCTTGGGGTCTCTGTCTCGGTCCCTGCTCCAGAGGCGGAGTCCGTCACCGCACACGTTACATCCTTCTGCGGCCAGCGAACGCTGGCAGCCCCTGCCCTGAGCTGGAGGAGCAGGCTGAATGCGTGCCCCACAGCTGTATGAAGAAACGCCAGTAACTGTCAGAGCAAGAGCATAAAACACTTGGACTTCATGCTATCACTGCTGGACGGGGAAAAACGTTTTATCATGTTGAGGATTTTTTTTTAAGGTGAAACAATAAGAACTCTGTATTGCCTGTGTATTGCCACTAAAATACATTTCTGTATATAAGCAGAACTAACAAACGAAATGGAGTCTTTTGGAAAAGCAGATGGATGAATATCAAACAGTTGAAATGTTAATCAGTCTAACTTGATTTTTACAATTGTTGCACAAATTTCACCCAAAGTTGAGCCATTTTATAAAATGTAAATAAAACCTTCATGCTGCCACTTGTAAATCACCTCCAACAAATACACATTTTTAAAAATCAAATACATGTGGCTTAATTTGTTTTGAAACAAAACTCTGTTTTAAATTTTGTGAAATAAATGCTTTAAAAAAAACAATTTTGCAAATACTTCTAAAGTTTTCGCTCACTAAATCAGATAATTAGCAGATGTTATACAATCAGGGTTTCCTGGTGAACTTCTGACCTATGCTGACACTTTCATTTCTCAATAAAAAAGCTAATTTAAGAACAGACAGCCTAGCAACATTGAACAAAAATGTTTTTTGCAATTCTTTCCACTGTTAGTGGTTATTATTTATTTATATTAGGATAAGAGGTGATGTCATAAGGGACAAAAATCAACATAAAACAAGATTTGCCTGTTTGTTTAAAAATTAGAGTTATGTGATTATGGAGTTAACATTTTAAAACTGGCTTTAGCATTTAATATTAACCATTAGCATGGTAAGTTTTTTTTTTTTTTACTGATAATCACCAGAATTTTGTGTTTATTTCATAAAAAATGTAGAGCCAGTCATGCAGGTGGCGCAGTGGTCAGCTCGCATGACCCTTATACAGAGGTCTTAGTCCTCGATGTGGGCGACATGGGTTTGAATCTGGCCTGTGGTCCTTTCCTGCATGTCTCTCCCCCTTTCCTGTCAGCCTAGAGCATTATATTACTTCTTCCCAAATTTTTCCAAATGCCTCATAAGTCCAAACAAAGTCTCAATACTCAGAAAGATAAAACAGGAGAAAATTACCGTACTAAGTATTTAATTTCCCCTCTGAATCAAGATCATTTTGAATTGAATTTAGTCTTCGTCTTATCACCTGAAGCCGTTGCCCTCTTTCTCTTGCAGCATGAATGGACCAAAGATATAACTCTCTTTCAATCACTAACAGCATCTGCACCAATATGGCTTTTGTAATTGTTTTTCTCACTGAACAATGAAAGTCCAGAATTTGTTTGTCAATTGGAAGGTCCCTGCTCACAGCTAATCAAAGCTAAAATCCCTCTATTCAGGTATTTTCCAGTGGTAAGGACGGTCAATATTACTGGTTGAACTCTACAGGATGGAATATACTGGACCCATAATAAACAGATAGAATGCGTCTAAACTGTAAAACTTGGACTAAGCTGTGGTTCTTTTGCATCCTTTAACAGAATAATTGCAATTAAAATTGTTTCTAAATATTGGTGATGCTTATCCCCCAACTTTAGAGAATTTAGTAAATATATGAGCCTACACATGGTCCCTGGAGCGAGTTGTGGGTCTGCTGCAGGGCTCTGTTTTTGTTCATCTTTTTCTTCACAAAAAAAAAAAACAAAACAAAAAAAACAGAAACAGAAGTAGAAGCAGAGGCCTCCATCTGTATTATCTTACTCGATATAATTATTTGGCCACAATTCCCTTTATAGATATGAAACTCTTCAGAAATCTTATCTTTGTCACAAAACCATTTTTCACACAATAAACTATTTTGAAATCAATAATCTATTTGTATTCTTGGTCTTTTTTTTATTGTTTATGTGTAAAACCTTCTTTCAAAGATTTACCTCAGTGAAACGATACAGCACCCCCTAGTGGTGAGAATCAACAGCAATAAAAGGAGCCGTATTTGTACATAAAAAATACTAACGCTTCTAATGGAAGTATTTTCTTCATTAATAAAAAGTAAAAACAAATTATTTGTAATAATTTATACTATGCAATTTATATTTTGTAAACCTGAAAAATCATGAGAAATAAGAAATTGTTGATATCGTTGTTTCAGTAGCAGCACAATATGAATTCAAGAAGATTACTTAAAGGCTTAATTTGAAATAAAACTATATTTTTCAAAGGAATGATAATATTACAATGAACAATTTACATTTATTTTTATACTGAGTAAAAAACTCGTGCTACAACATATATGCTTTGAATTCACTCCCAAGTGCTACACTTTTCCAACAGGAAAGCACAGTTTACCTCTCCAACATTTCACTTCACACGATCTTCCAGATTATTCAAGCCCTAGGTCCTTTTCTTTGTTCCACCCTGCTGGTTTTCCATTGGGTTTGGTCTTGAGACTCACTGAAGAAACGAGGATCATTTCTCTGTTGATTTCCCCACGTATTAAATCTATTTTCAGTTTTCTATTAATGGCTCGTGTTCTGGTATTTCTAAAAGCTAGTGAAAACAAACATCCCTAAAATGTTCCTTTGGCTTTTGAGGAGAAACATCCCCTCAGCATCATGAACCCTCCACTATACATAGCAGTGGGCTTGAGGAGATTTCTCACATGTTCATTCTTTGATTTGATAAAGATCCACCTGGACTGTTAGTAAACAAGCTTCACATGTTAATGTTTGGACAAAGAAACCCCCAAAATAATTGGGATGTGGAGTTTGTAGTCATGGAGAAGAATTGGTGATCATAAAATTGATGCAGTGAGCTTTGAACATTGGATTATTCCTCTGCTAATATCCATAGAGTGGAAGCAAAATAAATCAAATAAACCTTCCTAGGGTGTTTGATCAATTTAAATGGTGGAAAATACGTAAAAAAGCATTAACATCCAAATAAGATTTCCAATGTTTCTTTATAGATTACTTTATAAATATCCAACAAATTATTCATGCATTCCAAAATACTTCTGGCCAGGACTTTGGAGGACCAGTGGTGTCACTGAAAAAAACCCTCAACCACTTCAAATTTAACATTGAAATCATACATTTACAAATCAAATTTAAGTAAACATTTAAAATTGAATTATCAAAGAGGAATTGCATTTATGAATTTATTATTCAATACTGCCGTTCAAAAAATATACTTTCAAATCCTGCTTCTAAGTGGATATTTAAAAAACACTATTCATAACTCTGATTAAAAGTACCTCTCTTATCACACATTTTAAAATCTAATTATTTTTTCAATTTCAATTTTCTTTTTCAGCTTGCATTTTCAAATCCTTTTTGCAGTTGTACTTTCTTTTTACTATTCTCTTCATTTACCTTTACGTGACACTTCTGGTCTCTAAGCAGACTGAAAACCAGTTAAACAGTTGCTTTTCAGTACTGCCAACCAGAAATGGGTTTTTAAAACATGCATTTAGAAAATAGATTTTAAACTATCTTCTCAAATTGCAGTGTTTATAAAGGGATTAATAAATATGATTCACAATTCCTCTTTAATTATACAATTAGAAATTTAAAATTAGAAGAAAAATTCAAATTGGATTTATAATTGTATGATTTGCATTTTAAATTTGATTTTTTATTTTTTTATTTTTTTTCAGGACTCTAATGATCCTCCAAAGTTTCCACTGAAATTTCCGTATTTAGCTTTCCGTGGAGAAGCTGCTTAAATAATCGCCACTGCGGGAAAGTAATGCATAAATCCTCCGCTAGGGGTCAGTGTTTCCTAGTATTTTCCACGTCTCCGCAGTGCTGCCTGTCTACCAGGAGGAGTGCGTTTGATTGTTGCAGGGCTCAATGGCGGACAGAGCAGGATAGTCGCGTTAATACCGAGGACAAAAACGTTTCGACTGGGAGATCTGCGGTCCGCTGCCGCCGACTACTCCCCGGTACAGCGGCCGAACGAACATTTTGTGGCACTAGCGTGATATTCGAAACAGTCAAAAGCTGTTTCTCCTCGCCTTTTTTTTTGCGTTAGCTTCCCCGAGTTCCCATCCCGAGCGGAGAAGTTCAACTGTTCATGGTGGCTTAGCACTAGCTTTGTAAGCAAACCATGGGGGACTCTCTCGAATTAATCGGGAAGCGTCTGATTTTGCTTCTCGACGACGGCAGGTCCACCAATGGATCAGAGTCTGAGCAGCCTGCCTGGGCCCGGGACTGGCTCCGAGGGACGGTGCGGGCGGTGAGCGTCATCGGCCTGGCCGCTACGGAGGCTAGCGAAGGAGGGGAGGCGACAACAGCCAGCAGCGCTGCCGGGCTGACGGTCAGTATTTACATGCAAGCGATGCAGTGTTACAAAGCTAATATCGGTCATTTTTTTAAAACAGACCTCATATGCTAAGCTGTTTATTGTGCAAAAAGCACAGTGTAGCTTGTTTTTGTCCATGAGAGTCGAAAGCTTTAATGTTACGCGCTGCATAAACGTAGCTTTCAGTCCGTTGCGTGTCGCAGGCAGAGAGTCGAAGCTAAAATCGAGGCCGGGGTTTTTCGGGCCTTTGCTTTGTTCGGTTATCTTAGCTTCAGGATATTTAGCTTCAAGCAATGATGTTCATGACCTTGCAGAGCGCACTGTAAAGTATAAAAAGAAAAGTCTGGATATTTTCGAAATTCATTATGCATATTCCAATAAGTTGCAGATAATTTCTATAAAACTTACCGTTAGCTAAAACTTGTCCTTTTAAGAAGGCCTTAAGAAGTTAATGCAGGGGCGAACCTATAGATAGATAGATCTATCTATCTATCTATCTATCTATCTATCTATCTATCTATCTATCTATCTATCTATCTATCTATCTATCTATCTATCTATCTATCTATCTATCTATCTATCTAAACCTAAAATCGGTCCCACCTTTCTGTTTGACCCACATTATTAAGTGTGAGTCGGATTTTTGCCGATTTATAACAATCTGGATGAATGATGCTGACATTTTAAAAGCTGTTGACTCAACACTGCTGATTAGAACAATGGGTAGTGGTTGTACAACAGAAGCGAAAAGTTAAGTCAAACATGCCTTTAAATAAGTATATTGTTACTGATTAGCAATAGGTTTACAAAAATGTGTCTTCTAAATATTTAAGTCCTATTGAAAAGTACACACAGGGAAGAGTACCAAAGAATGTCAAGTTTTCTATTAAACATATTAGAATAAATCGTCTTTAAGTTGTTGTTAAAGTTCTTGGTTATAGACGTTGGTTTTAAAAAGTTCAACAAAGGATCTTAAAAAGTTCAGCCTTTTCAGTTTTTGAATCTTAACTAACTTGTAGTGGTCCTTCTTTCCGGTCAAAAGGTCATATTTGTTGCTGCAGCAACCAGATTGGACCTTTTTTTACAGTGAAACATTGTTAGAATTAGGGCTGAAACATTTAATCGGATGAATCGATTATTGAAATAATCATCAACTAATTTAGTAGTCGGTTAATCGTTAACTGGAATATAGAAACTAAAAAGTGTCTTCAGCTGACAGTGACCCACCTTGAGCAGTAATTCTAAAATTGTAAATAAAAAAGCAACCATGTAAACAATTTGCAGTTAAGAAAAAAAGAAAATGTTTTTGTCCATCTCAAGTGGAAAAGTTTTACTTTCACCTGGTTTAATTTCGTTAAAAGTCTTCTTTAAGGAACCTTTTGCTATCCAATTATTAATCAATTAATCAAAAAGAAACAAATGACAGATAATTCGATTTGCAAAATAATCTATAGTTGCAGCCCTAGTTAGAATCTGCATATAAAACATGTTTATATTCCTATTGATGGATTTTTTATCTTGCAATTGTTTACATATACGTTTTTTTTTACAGCAATTAACTAACTTAATGACTTTAAGATTGATTTAAAACATTTTTTGAAAACAAAAACAATTTTTAAAAACAAAAACAGCTTTTGAAAGTTTGAAGTGAAATCAAGCAGCTTTCTCCTGGTCACCCTCTTTATCTTTACTCACTAACTTTGTGCTCTCTTTTCTCCAGCTTTAGGAGCTTGGATAGGTTGTTTCAGTTTTTGCCCTTCTGGAGTATTCCTTTTTATACAACCACCTCGCTTTGAACCTAAATATTGCCATTTCCTCAAATTATAATGGCATTTTCAAACCTGCGTATCTAAACCTTTGCATTAAAATATGTTTTTGAAGGAATTATGGAGATTAACCGTAATAAAAATGTAAAATCTCACGCACAATTTTTCTTTTAAGAACTTTCTTTTAAACCCTATTACTATTTTTCTTGACTTTTATTTCCATTTTAAGAATTTGATTATTCTGAAATGTGACAGATGATGACCCTTGGTTCTATTGAAGATTGTTATTGGGCAAGAGGCAGGGTACACCATGGAGGGCAAAACCAGAATTGCTGCACACTAAGGTGATACTAAATGACCACAGAGTTAAATGACTACTTGTTTCCCTGATGTCTGCTCATAAAATCCTTTGAGCGGCTAAGAAGTCTATGGATCCTGCCTTCACTTCACTCAACCATCCAAGGATGCACATCAGGATCCTCTTTGCAGACCTTAATGACATCCATCTAAAACGTCCTCAACCAGAAACTGTCCTGGCTCATAGATGGCTGTCATTGGTCTAATCAAGGACTCTGTATAAAGACAGGAGATGGGCTGCAGTGCATTAAGAAC